GCCTAGTGGTGCAGCCTAATGATTTCCGTAATTTATGTCCTATCCACTTGAGGCCTCCTTATATAATATCCTCTTCAATTGGGAGCTGGTTTACTCTCTTCCACTGTAGTATCTGATCAGCGAACATTGAATATCCTGCGTCGATAACTGTTTATGAATGCCTTTACTTTTTTGATGATGTTTGTAGTAGTTCTCTAAGTTTCAGCTCTGTACAGTAGAACGGTCTTGACGTTCGTATTGAAGATTGTAACTTTGATGTTGGCTGACAGTTGTTTTTAGTTCTATATATTCTTCAATTAACTCCGCCTGTAGCTCTTATAGGGTTGCTGCCGGTCCCAAGCCCGGGTAAAGGAGGAGGGTTGGGCATGGGGTTAGCGTCCCCATCCCGTAGAAAACTAACTCGCTAAAAAACGCTTACCAGAAAAAATAATCCAAACCATTTTAACTCTGCTCTGGGAGTTAGAAGGTCTTCATTTAGAAGAATTATGACGCTTCATGGTGAGAGCCGAGTTCCTTCGGAAGCCACGAGGCCGATGCCCCTTCTAACAACCAGAGCAAAAATTTTTATAGGTACATGGAACGTTCGAACAATGTGGGAAACCGGGAAGACCAGTCAAATATCAATGGAAATGAGGAGATACAACTTAGCAGTACTTGGAATCAGTGAAACCCACTGGACCCAAGCTGGACAGAAAAGGCTAAATAAGGGAGAGATGCAGCTATTCTCCGGTCACGAAGAGGACAATGCTCCACACACTCAGGGAGTCGCTCTTATGCTGTCCAAAGTAGCACGAAATGCACTTGTAGGATGGGAATCTCACGGATCCAGAATCATCAAAGCATCATTCAAAACAAAGAAGGAGGGGATCACAATGAATATTATCCAATGTTATGCACCCACCAATGATAGCAACGACGACATTAAAGATCAATTCTACGAGCGGCTGCAGTCAATCATAGAGAAATGACCAAGAAAGGACCTCACCATTCTAATGGGAGATTTAAATGCCAAAGTCGGAATAGACAACACTGGATATGAAGATATTATGGGACGACATGGACTGGGAGAAAGAAACGAAAATGGAGAAAGATTTGCAAATCTATGTGAATTCAACAAATTGGTCATAGGAGGCACAATATTTCCACACAAGCGTATACATAAGGCTACATGGATCTCACCGGACCACACTACAGAGAACCAGATAGACCATATTTGCATCAACAAAAAATTCCGAAGGACAATGGAAGATGTGAGAACCAGGAGAGGAGCTGACGTAGCTTCAGATCACCACCTAGTTGTAGCCAATTTGAAACTGAAGCTAAAAAAGAACTGGACAAGTGGACAAACAGCAATACAAAGGTTCAATACAGCCTTCCTTCGAGATACTGTCAAACTCAATGAATTCAAGATAGCTCTCAACAACAGGTTCCAAGCCTTACAAGATCTACTGAAAGAAGAAGAAACTACTATGGAGGACAACTGGAAAAGCATCAAGGAAGCATTAACTTCAACGTGTCAAGAGGTTCTCGGTCTAAAGAAATACCATCATAAGGAATGGATCTCTACAGAAACACTGGACAAGATCAAAGAAAGGAAGAACAAGAAGGCAGCAATAAACAACAGCCGAACACGAGCAGAGAAAGTCCAAGCACAAGCTGAATACATAGAAGCAAACAAGCAAGTGAAGAGGAGCATTAGAGCTGACAAGAAGAAATACGTGGAAGAATTAGCAACGACGGCAGAAAAAGCTGCTAGAGAAGGAAATATGAAACAGCTTCACGATACAACGAAGAAACTAGCAGGGGAATACAGTAAACCAGAGAGGCCGGTCAAAGACAAAGAAGGCAAGCCAATCACCGAAATTCAACAACAGCGTAACAGATGGATAGAATACTTCGAGGAACTCCTGAATAGGCCGGCTCCTATGAATCCATCGGACATCGAAGCAGCACACATAGATCTTCCTATAGATGTCAATCCATCAACTACGGAAGAAATTAGAATGGCCGTCAGACAAATCAAGAACGGGAAAGCAGCAGGACCCGACAACATTCCAGCTGAAGCACTGAAATCAGATATCGAAGCAACCACAAGCATGCTCTATCTTCTATTCAAAAAGATTTGGGAGGAGGAACAAGTGCCGATGGACTGGAAAGAAGGACACCTCGTCAAGATTCCAAAGAAAGGACATCTGAGCAAATGTGAAAACTACAGAGGCATAACACTACTGTCAATACCAGGGAAAGTCTTCAACAGATTGTTGCTGAACCGGATGAAGGATGCAGTAGACGCCCAACTTCGAGATCAACAAGCTGGATTCCGTAAGGATCGGTCGTGCACAGACCAAATTGCAACACTACGGATCATCGTCGAACAATCAGTTGAGTGGAACTCGTCACTATACATCAACTTCATTGATTATGAAAAGGCATTCGACAGTGTAGATAGGAGGACATTATGGAAACTTCTTCGACATTACGGAGTTCCTGAGAAGATTGTCAATATTATCCGGAACTCATACGATGGACTACAGTTCAAAGTAGTGCATGGAGGACAGCTAACAGATGCATTCCAAGTAAGGACCGGGGTCAGACAAGGCTGTTTACTCTCTCCCTTCCTCTTTCTTCTGGTGGTCGACTGGATTATGAAGACCTCAACATCTGAAGGAAAATACGGAATACAATGGACAGCTCAGAATCAATTAGACGATTTGGACTTCGCAGATGACCTAGCCCTCCTATCACGTACACACGAACAGATGCAGATGAAGACAGCCAGTGTAGCAGCAGTCTCTGCATCAGTAGGCCTCAGCATACACAAAGGGAAAACGAAGGTCCTCAAATTCAAAGCGGAGAACAGCAATCCAATTACACTTGATGGCGAAACTCTGGAAGATGTAGAGTCCTTCACATACCTGGGAAGCATCATCGATGAACAAGGAGGATCCGATGCAGACGTAAAGGCGAGGATCGGCAAAGCAAGGGTCGCATTCCTACAATTGAAGAACATATGGAACTCAACACAACTTTCAACCAATATCAAAGTGAGAATCTTCAATACCAACGTCAAGGCAGTTCTACTGTATGGAGCTGAAACTTGGAGAACTACAACAACCACAATCAAGAAAGTACAAGTATTTATAAATAGCTGTCTACGCAAGATACTCAACATCCATTGGCCAGATACCATCAGCAATAGCCTTCTGTGGGAGAGAACAAACCAACTTCCAGCTGAAGAGGAAATTAGGAGAAGACGATGGAAATGGATAGGACATACATTACGCAAATCGTCAAACTGCATCACGAGGCAAGCCCTAACTTGGAATCCTGAAGGGAAGCGAAAAAGAGGAAGGCCAAAGAACACATTGCGTCGGATAATAGAAGCAGATATGAAAAGGATGAATTACAACTGGACGGAGCTCGAAAGGATTGCCCAGGACAGGGTTGGATGGAGAATGCTGGTGAGCGGCCTATGCTCCTTCACGAGGAGTAACAGGGGTAAGTAAGTAAGTAAGTATATTCTTCAATTGTAGACATGCTGCACTTGCTTTGCTAATCTTTGCATTCGTGTGTGCATCAGATCCTCCATGTTCGTCAATTATGCTGCCCAGATATATGAGTTTTTCCACCTGTGCCAGACTCTCCGTCAAGTGTGATTGAGTTTGTGTTTTCCGTGTTGTATTTGAGGGTGTTGCTTTTCCCCTTTGTGTATATTGAAGCCTACTGAATCTGCGAATAGCGATATGACTGATCACGTCGCGACAACACGAACAACTGTATTCTTAAAAGCACGGCAAGTAACTCATGAAAAGCTACAAATGATGAAGGAAGGATTCGCGAATCATGGGCCTGAGTGTTTATGTACTTTAGCCATCCAGTATCTTGTTTCACGATTTTTATGGAGTTTTGTTCTCTGAGCTGGATGGTTTGGTCGTGGAGCTCTCATCGTTCTTCTAAACACTTCATTTCTACCTGAAGTTTGTGCTGATGATATCTTTCGGAAGAACAATGAGAGCTCCACGACCAAATCACCTAGCTCAGAGAACAAGTCTCCGTCATAATCATCCACCTAAGCTAAAAGTCTTTCTCACCATCTCAGTTTTACAATTTGCTTTGAAAGATTCTCCGTGGTTCCCAAGACAGTCTGACATTATTTTGAAAACTAATGGGACGGATCAATTTCCTGTAGAAACTGCCAATTTAATAGCGAAATGTAAATTTTTTCATCAAGAAGAACGCACCCCTAATGATAGCCACACTTTGATATTTGGAGGAAGCTAATATGTCCAATAAGTCGTTTTGAGATTAAACGAAAACGCAAATCATGGTTGAGGTTGTCAGAAAAGGCATTCGATAAGCACTAGTTAGCCAGCAACCTCTCATTCCCAACACTCCTGTCAATCTATGTCCTGGAACAGTTCACTAGTCTGCTGTCTACCATCAAATCTCTTTTAGGTAATTCGTAGTTTAGGAAAATCCATGCTAGACAGGTTTGAGGTAGCCTACTTGTCCGACTAGAGGGAGAAAAACCCTATGATAACGAGTAGTGTACGAACCAAGCTATGCTTTCAAGAAGCTACCTTTGTGCAGCAGAATCGCACTTCGCTGTTGTCTATTCAGAGTAAAATGTGTTGCCGGGTGAAGAACACAGATAATTTAGGTAGAGTCAGCGATCTGTCATGACGATATTTCGGATCAGTCTGACAATACGAAAACGCCCAAGTCAAATAAACACAAATATGGGGACGAAAATGTGGAAAAGACTAGCAGTATTATTCACTTTTCTTAATAAATCAGGCAACTTCAGAAAGTTGATACGAAAAGCTGTACAGAGTAAGCTCAATTATCAAGTACAAATATCAGCTGCTGAGAAGATTTGACAAAATATTTGTGAAAATAAGCTTAAATTTCTGTCCATTTTAAAATGACGCTCAAATTACCACTGTAAACACAAATTTAAGTGTTGTTCGTTTTTTATAGTGATAAAAACCCAAAAGAGCTGTTTACAATAGATATATATTTGACATGTGCTAATTTTAGGAACAAACGCTGAAAGACCAGTTCTGAAAAAATAGCAATCTGGTTGAGCGGTTATCGAAATAAATTACAGACTAGTACTAATATGTCAACAAAGGCAAATTATTTAAAGATATCACGGAAGTATCTTTTTCTGCATATTAATGTATAAACTAGGTAACAAAGTAATAAGAGTAGAATGAAAATACCAATTAGGATAAATATCTATTAGTTAAGTGTAATGTACCGTTACTTTCGTATTGTGGATGAAACCAGGAAAAAGAAACAGGTAAAACTGTTCAAAATCAAGGCTAAAAAGACGAACAGGAAAATGGGTGAAATAAGATATGACTAGAGGAAATACGATTTTATCGATCACGTTGTAGGAAATTCGCTGCAACATGTAAAAGAGCCTTTCTTGATAAAGAATCCCTGAATTGAAATAAACATCTTTGAGCTGCCTGGAAATGAAATTCAGCTAACATTCGAGTCTGACCAACTCCATCGGACTGCGAATCACCAACCAACAAAAGTAAAACAAAAGTTGACCATAAAAAATTATATTACTCGAGTAAAGTCAGAAAATATAGACTGTCTAATTAACGTCATCAAATATGAATATTACTAGTAATGAGATAGTGTAGTTCCTTAAAGAATTTTTAGATGTGAATAATTGGATAAAGAAGAAAATGACAAATTTGCAATACTGCTAATCTTAAATTTGTCTATATCCCAAACCTTGATATAGTATTACTTGTAGTAGTTGAAAACAAAACGTTGGAAGTAAAACCAATAAAGGTTAAACTTTTGACAGTAAAGATTCATCTAATAAAAGTCTAGCATCATATAATGTACCGTTGAAAATGGTTTTGCAAAAATATTTGTAAGTTTACAACTAGGTACTTCGTTTTAAGTAGAAATAAAAAAACATCACCTGGTTTTTTCTATGAAGAAAAGTCAAGTTGTTTAATGAAATATTGACATGGCATTTTCTAGATTTGGAACATATGCTAGGTTAAACTAGTAGAAGTTAGATTGTGTTTAGATGTGCGATAGTAGCGTGCGATTATAGCTTATTTAATGTAAAATTTAATTGTCAACTCTTTGGTCACACGTCTCATTTAATTTACTGATTAGCTCAGTAATTTATAAATAAGAAAAGTAATTATTAATCTGCATTACTTAACAAATTAGCATGTGGTATAAATCCTTCATAGACTAGAGTAATAAAAACTAATGAAGATAGTGGAACGGAAAAAATAATTTATAATAATTAGTACGCAAGACAAATTGAGAAAGAATGTTCATGGAGTAAAATGCAATCAAAATTTTAGGTTTGGTAAAACAACACTAAGTTTTACCCTAATGTTGATGGACATTCATTACAAGTGTGTAAATGACTATTGTAGATGCTTTGTACGGTAAAATTGTGATAAGATTTGACTAAATAACCTAATAATTTCAATAATTCACGCTATCCCGATAAGCAATCACGGTTGAAGATAAACTCCACGTTGTCAAGCCATTTTAGTGTATCGTAGTCAGTAAACAAGGTTACGTTTTTATTTACATAGTCATTCAATTGCAGATATTTTGTAATAGTTTATATTATAGAATTAATTGGAGGCAAGACTTTTGCTATGTTGTAATTTTTTCTATCATGACTGACTGAGCTACACTTAGCACAACCGTAGCATGATGGAGAGTGGTTTATTTGCAGGAAGCTTTAGATCTTTCATGTAAACCAGCACAGACGAAAAGGAACGAAACACACCTTCCATTACGGATCACGATGGTGCAAATGGTATTTCCCATTTCAATTTGACTGGTTGCCAGGTGTGAGTGAAAATTGGGGAGGAGAGGGTTTGTCCTCACTCCCAATCGCCAATCAGAAATAAAATGCTTTGCAATAATAGAAGATACCGATATTAAAAAGCCTCCATACTTTTAAAACTGCATATCTAACGGAATATGTATAACCTAAAAACCCTACTACTTTCCCCACTAAATACAATTATGTCAGTCAATACTTTTATTAGCAGCTATCATTAGATAGTGGATCCAATCTTTAGAACAATAGGCATCTGATTCGAAATTGAATGGGAACATGAAAAAGCTGAATGACGATACATCCAACTGATAAGTTCCAAGTACAGAGACAAAAAATATTTCCGGGGAACAAACACTGTACTGTTACCTGTTTAACTAATTCTAGAGCTCTTTCAGTATCCCCATCTAAACTGAATTGCCGCAGCAGTATGGCGTTTAGTTCAGGATACTAAAAATTGTAAAAAAGAAATAACTTATTGATAAATTGTTAAGCACCTTTTCTAATCAGATAAATATCACTGCAATAATAAATGCTCCAATTTTGAGTAGATCATTTCATCGAAATAGAATTAAAAGTAATTTTTGGTACGTAGCTAATTAACTACTCATTTATTGAAAAGAATCTTGTGACCTACTATGAAACTACTTTATGATAAAAGTAAAAATACTGCAGGTCAGATTTCTAGTTTACCGCTTAGTAAGACGTATTTACATGTTCCATTATCAAACAACATATGAATATTTATTTATATTTGTATTTAAGTATACTGGAGATATCAATATAATTTTTGTTAAAGACTATCACCGTTACATCCAAATGAAACTATCGGTAAACTTCCGCATATAAGTTATAGCGGTTCAACACAAATGTATTACACCGACAAAATTAAAATGCGGTTAATCATCTCAGATACTCAGAACGGTTTATGAAACAAAAGTTTAGTGAGAAACATATGTAGTGAACTGATGAAACAAGCCTGTACAAGTCATCCATTAAAAAAATAATAAACACATATTTGACAATTAAACGCTTATATTAATACTTATCGAAATGCTTGTATGTACATAAAATTGATTGTATTTCTGCTTATATAAATTACTGGTATTTTGGAAGCAACTTAGTTACTTGTTTTTTTAATACGTATTTAATTAGTACTGAAGTCAAAGTATAAGTATTATTTGCATCCGTTGTAAATCTTTAGTCTATCTGTTGATTATTAGTTGGAGAGCGGATTGGAATTTTGTTGCTAAACCGTTCCCGATATGCCAACACTTTCTTGTATTTGATAGGATTTATAAGGTTGATGTTAACGTTCCATCCACGTTGTAATTAAATTATTGGAAATCGAACTGTATTTCTATCCCGTACCAACAATTCCTCAATGGGTTTTTATGTTAGGAGTATTAAGGTAAGATAATACTTGCACTACATAAAATTTAATGGTAGGCAGCGGACGACTAATATGCAATACAGGGAGAGAAAAGTAATCTTTTTAGGGAGCTGACTAAACACCAGTGAACATGCAGTATTTGCATGAGTTGCATATTAAGACGCAGATGAGTACGATTAATTAGTTGGAAGAAAGATCAATTACAAGTGGTATTGACGGCTTATTAACAAGGTGTTAAATTAACACACAGAAGCAACAAATCGACAAGGTTGATATTCGTAGAGGAATTCCTAACATCTCAGCCCTCTGTTTGGAGTCAAGCTTCTGCAAGAATATAAGTAAGAACCTGCAGTGACTTCAATCGCCCTTATAGGACATTCAGGAGTGTTTAGAGGATGAATTTATTAGACGATCTAATAACATTACATATAATTAAATATGTGCAAATCATTTTGTAAACTATTATGTTTACAGTGAAATCCAATTTCGGAAATTTATATATAATATTTGAAGTTATAATGCTTTAAAAAATAGTAAGATGTTGGAATGATAGGTGGATTTAGATAAGTAAATTCATTATGATGGCAATTTGTTTACTCTGATTCAATAAAATCAAGCATTGGGTTTCGTAACATTTGAATGAGATTAAACTTTAGTCGTACATTACACTAATTACAATATTTTGACAATAACAATCGATATTCGTTTTGTCTATTACAATAGGAATGTGAGTGACCTGTTAATTTCAGTAATCGATGAGATAATGATATTTAAATCTTAAGAGGATAATCCGCTCTAGTTTTCACTACACGTGAAGTGACCATATCACTCGTGCACACCACTAACATTTACACAGCTACCTGGATACACAAGCGTCTTGACTACTACTAATTGCTCACTACCGAAAGTTAGTATCGGCACAGAGTCCAGTCAGTCATGTAAAAGTACTTTATACTTTGAGGGTGAAACACACACGCCAAACAAACGTTCACTGACTGCTAGCTGATTAAGTGCGGACTGCATAACCTGAGTATCATCTGACAGTTAGATAATGTAATCCTCATACTAAAGGATGAAAAGTCTGTTAATAAACTTCTCAGGCACACCTTTATTCAACAGACAATCCCAGAGAACAGTCCTGTCCAACAAATTGAAGGCAGCTCTGATGTCAAGAAACACAACGATTGTTGGTTCGTAATAATTATGCCAATGTTCCAACATTTGGCGGGAAGCGAGGGTATGGCTAATGCATTTTCGACCAAAACAAAAACCAACCCACTCGTTGCGAGTCAATCATTCAGGGGTCCTAAGAAAATTGAGAAGTATGACGGAAACCAATAATTCAGACACGATTGGAAGTAGACTTATACCCCGATAGTTTTTGCATAGATGCAAAGGTTTTTTAAAGATAGGAACAACTATAAACTTTCTCATTCCCAAACTTTTTTAAACAATTCAGTCAGTTTAACAACCAGAAGGTCGCCACAATACTTGAAGAGGGCCGGAAGAAAGTCATCTGGGCCAAGTGATTTGTGGACCTCCAAGAGTTGGAGTTGCTTGTAAACTTCTGTCTCATTAGGTGGATCAGTCGATACTGGCCAGGGAGGACAGAACATATTGATGGAGTTTTGTTCTCTGAGCTAGATGGTTTGGTCGTGGAGCTTTCATCGTTCTTCCGAAAGACATCATCAGTACAAACTTCAGGTAGAAGTGTAGTGTTCAGAAGAACGATGAAAGCCCCACGACCAAACCATCCATCTAAGAGAACAAATCTTTATCAAAATCATCCACCTGAGCTACAAATCTTCGCCATCTAGGGGACAGAACAGTTTATTGAGGTCGCCGGGATAGCAGTTAGTGCTAGCCAGAAACAAGGTGTAGTTTGCGCAAGGTTCCAGTAGATAGTCCATCGTCCAAGACACCAATAGATGTTGATATTGACTGACTGGAGTCCAGTAAGCTTCACAAGTTTTCTCAACCCCAACAGACTTCTTGCTGCCGGTGGCTCGGATGAGTTAAAAAGGCTTCCGGAAGTTACCAGATGCAGCTGTTGCTTCCAACTCGTTAGCACGTTCTGATCACCACGTTTTTCGGTCCTCATGCAAACTTTGTACAATTTCATTACGTAACAACCTATATTCGTCGTCAAGCTCGTGGTTAGCCAAAGTAGACCGACTTGCCTCGCAGAAACTCAGTGCTCGTAAGCGGGATATTTCGCGAAGCCTCAAGAGGCTCTATTCGTCATTTCAGTGTCGTCATACAAGTATTGCGAGTGCTCATTATCACGTTCTCAACTTGATTACGGCAGAGTACGATATACAACTAACGGCACTTGAATGTATAGAACCCCACTGTCGCAAATCCGAAGACAAAAGAAGCAAGGGAAGTGACTATGTGGTAAGAATCAAAAATGTACAGAAATAAACGGGTATTTTTATGGTTATTAATATTGGCTAGAACATCATTAAAATCCAGCTAGTCCACAAGGAGGCAAGTTATGCCACCATCCAATCATAGCATGCTACACTGATATTCTAGAAGACTCTATCGAATTCTGATTGGATGGAATCTCTTCGGCTTCTTTATAGCCTCTAAAGACTTCGTCGTAATTCGCGAAGCCGTACCAAAGCTCGTCTATACTTTTCAGTCAGTTCATAGCAAGCATTAAACTTAGCTCAGTTTGATATTCAGTTAGGACAGAAGATGTAGCCAGTTTGTTCACATCGATCCATTTAAGATGATGAATTTGTTAGCCATTGAAACGTAAGACGAGATTAGCGCAAACAGGGACATGATTAGAGTCTAGATACGTACTGCAAAGGGAGCGGAAGTATTGTACATATGCACCCCAGGGCTGGCTGATCACAATGTGATCAATCTGAGTCCAGACTTGAGATAAACAGGGATGCCAGGTAGCATATCGGAAATGCCTTTGTCGATAGTCGTCCCCAAATAACCTGGTACACTTTAGGATGGAGAGAGTCTGCTCTCCCACTCAAAATGTCCTTACACAGCCACGCATATAACGCAACTGCCAGGGAAGTCCTGCTCACTGCCTTCTCGTGGCAGGGGTGTCAGTTACGTAACTGGAAAGTGAATGTCCAGCGTTTTAGCCGGAGTGGTGGTAGTGCTAGCTAAAAGCAGATTGTAGTCTGAGCAAAACTGTAGTAGACGATCGCCGTTAATTGAGCTGGGACCAACAAGTTTTCATTGACCACCCAAACGACTCTCCTGTGTCTAGGAAACCGACCTGCGTATATAAATCTGTGGTTAGTACTATAATATCTGTCCAATGTAATTTCTGGTGGAAGAACTCCTCCTTGACTGAAACACGGCTGCAATCTGTCGGGGATATGTAGGACGAAATAATAAAAAGACATTTTTTCTTACACCGACTCCTCAATTTGATAGAGCTTTCTACTATAACTGTTGGGATATTCACAAAAATATCCCAAAAATTATCCTGTTAAGTCTAATATTATCCTTGAACGTGAAATGGTGTCATTTTTCTATTGGTCAATATTTATTTCACGTGTATTGTGGACCGCGGGGTGGCTACTCTAATTTCTACCGACTGACCAACTTTAGATATCCCAGTACGACCCCGATACTGTTCCCCAATCTCCAATATATCACAACACGAACCGTAGATGAAATCGTTTATGGGGTCAGGAGAAGAATAAGAATGATACTTAACAGACAAATGCATATTTATACAGTTAGGACTACCGTGAATATTGACCAACAGGGAAATGACACGTGAAATAAATATTGACCAGTAGGAAAACGACACGTGAAATAAATATAGACCAATAGGAAAATGACACCGTTTCACGTTCGAGGATAGCATTAGACTTAACAGGATAATTTTTGAGATATTCTTCTGAATATCCCAACACCTTCCTTTGGAAAAGTTAATAGCGACGTAACCGAGGGTTTACTTGAAATTTCTTTGGGTGTCTTAGTTTGCGATCCGACCTCCAAGGTAACCACCCAGAACCAGAAGGATGTTCTATGATATCTTCTGTGGTCCCCTCCCCTCGTGCTTTAAGCATGGCTCGTTTAAATGTATCAACGAACGTTTCAGCTTGTCCATTATATTGCGGATGATATGGCGGAGAACGGATATGGTTGACCGAGTTTTGCAGGCGAAATTCTCGGAACTGTCTAGATGTGAACTGTGAACCATTGTCTGTTACTATTGTTTCTGGGAGACCATGCTGAGAGAAGATCTGATTAAGGAGTTTGATGGTTCGAGTTGTAGAGGGTGGCGCAATTGGCAATATCTCCGGCCATTTGGAGTGAGAGTCAACCAGTATCGTATATGTAGTACCATCTGGGGGTCCGTTGAAGTCAATATGCACTTGAGACCAGGGTACTGGAGGCAACTTAGGGGGATTTTTCGCAGCTGTTTGACAATATGAACATCTTTTGACGAAGTCGACAATCTGCTTGTCCATGTTCGGCCAATATGCCTAGCTGCGAGCGATGGATTTCATACGGTTTATCCCTGGGTGTCCAGAGTGAAATTGGCGCAGGACCTTGTAACGTAGGGTTGTTGGAATTACTACGCGATCACCGAACATCAGACAATCGTTAAAAACACAGAGGGCGCTGCGACGACTCGCTAGTTGTTGCATATCACTACTCAACTTCTTAACTGACCGTCTGCTCTGAACATAGGTGATCGCTTCTTGGATAATCGGGTCTTCTATGGTAGCTTCCCGAACATCTTCAGCGGTAATAGGCATTGCTCGAACGGCATTCGCTAATAGTGTAGCACCGGAATCCTCTTCCGTTGATATTATGGCTATGAGTGTGTCCTCATCAGTGGTAGAATGGTTACTGATAAGTCTGGACAGTGCATCTGCTTGACCGAAATCTTCGGAACGTCTATACTGGATGTCGAAGTCGTACCCCAATAACGCCAACGCCCAACGTTGAAGACGATTAGCAGAATGGGTAGGAATGCCTTTCTTTGATTCAAAGATTGGTAACAACGGCTTATTGTTTGTGAGCCAGGTGAAACGGTGCCTGTAAATGAATTTGTGTTCTGATATATTGGAGATTGGGGAACGGTATTGGGTTCGTACTGGGATATCTGAAGTTAGTCAGTCGGTCCACAATACTAACAGTACACGATTGACTGTTAATAGGGATCTAATCGGTTAGTGCTACCTCAACTCTAGCGCTTAGTGTGACACTGACGCTAGCAAAACCTGACGGAAATACCACAGGGTCCCCAGATAAACGCAAGCAAAACAAGCCTTTCGAAGCAATAGATGAGGAGAGAATTTGTAGCAATTCACTAGTCTTGAGTGTGGGTTTTAGATATACAACAGACATCGATGTTAAGACTTTCTAAAGAAATAGTCAACCCAGTCTGTTTTTTAATCTGCATTAGTGTACCAACGTTAAAGGAGGGTAGTCTGAATGGCATACATGGTTTCAGAAAGGCTGCGTCAGAATTCGTATTCGGTGGTGGCATTCAACCTTCGACCAGTTAGTGACCCGAAATCGTTTAGATAGGACATGATTTTGACCATACGCAAGGTGTTGTATGAGTTGCAAAATAAAGGAATACACAAAAATGGGAATATACTAGTGACGCAATATCAAATAGCAACGAATGTTATTGAATGGTTGTGAGTGTAATTTATGAGGATGAGGATTGAAGCGAAGATAATTTTTTGGAGCTGAAGTTATCATTCATAGTAGACAAAATCTAAATACAGACCATGTATGATGGTAACCTAACTACCTATTTAATCAGAACTTACTCTTTGGGCAGCAAATAACACGGGTCCCGTTGCAAGACCCATTTGTAGGTCTGCCCCACTAGGTTTGCCCAGGTTCGCCTCATCAGTTACAAAGTCCAAAACATCATCGATTAATTGAAATGCCATTCCCAAATGTTTGCCAAATTCGTACATATTATCAATGTGCCGCTGTGATAGCGTTGGAACAGTCAACATAGCAACCTAAAAGGAAAATTTCAGTCTAGCCAAGGAATAGAAAGTAAACTTTTTACAATAACCACAGAGATATACACAAAACCTGTCAATTATCTCCTATAATTTCAGATGATACGAAAACGGGAAGATATGTGGGCTAAGACATTTACTGATAACAACTCGTCATACACAATTCGGTTTAATCTCGACGTGACTTTCAACACTAAGTGTTTTGATTACAGCATTACCATTCGGTGATAAATCCCAATTTTGCTTATCAGTAGATTTTTTGTCGTCAGTACTGAAAACCAAACAGAGATAGATGGTCGACAGCTTTTCAAATTAGGATGATTATTTACTGTAACAACTATAAAAATTAAAAATCTTTAGTAGATGACAAACTGAATGAAGAACTATTGTAACGTGATTCCAGTGAACTATCAACAAGACACCGTAACTCAGAATGTGGTCATGGTAATACCTACATGACTTATTTTGACCATCACTAATTTAGATCAGGGAAGAAAAAGTGTATACACCTACGCAATTGTGATCGATTCTGAGCCATGTCACCCAGAATCTCCAACCATTTGTCACGAAAGTCACGCGGACCCCAATCAAGTAGTCTGCATCTATCAACAATACTCAGGTCAGAAGTTAGTGACTTCAAGCACCGATGCCACGTTTTGCTTCGGCCGGCCCTAACTTTCTTCCAACCATCCCCAACACCGTTAGCATTGCACGTCGTGGTAATCGGTGTTCAGGCATACGCAACACGTGGCCCAACCATCTCAGTCGATGAAGAATTTCAACCTCATCAACTGATTAACCATCATTCCCTAATACTCTTCGTCTAACCTCACCATTACTTACCCAGTGATCCCAGCAGATGCGAGCAAAATTTCTAAGGCATCTGTGGTCAAACACTAGTAGCTTACGACTATATTCTACTTTTAATAGCCACGTTTAGCAATCATAAAGTAAAACAGAACGAACTGCCGTGCAGTATACTCGTCATTTGGTTGAAAGACAGATATCTCGACTTCGCCATAGGTGACGTAAGTTGGCAAAAGCCTAACGAGCTATCTGAATCCGTGCTGAGATTTCGTCAGACACCAACCCATTAGGGCTGATCAGAATTCCGAGATCAGTGAGGTTGTCAACGCGTTCGACTATTTCACTCCCTATCCTTAGTTCAGGTGTTGACGCAGACCAGTCGTGAAGCAACAACTTGCAGTTAGAGGGAGAGAAGCTCATTCCAAACATCCTGGCATTGTTGCTTAGGGCTACCAAACGACTCTGAATTTTATCAGCGTCTTCACCAAACAGGACTATGTCATCTGCGTATTCTAAGTGGACAAGTGGACTTCCTGGTGGGAGATCAATTCAGTCGACGAGAAAGTTATTTACTTCAGGTCTACGATGAAGTTAAACAAAAGTGGAGATAGTGGACAGCCTTGACGGACACCACTTGAGGTTACAAAAGCGGATGACCGTTCTCCATAAGCTCTGACTCGACTAGTAGTGTAGTGTGTAATTTCCTATTCATAACTTATTTGATGTACGTATTATATGAACACTTAAGGAGGATGAAAACTTTGTGGAAGAGATTGGTATAATGGTCCTGAACTAATGACCGATTTTGCCTGCATTAGTACTCAATAAATATAAAAGCTATCAAATTCATAAACTAGAAATATTATAATATATATATATATATATATATATATATATATATATATATATATATATATATATATATATAAAAGCTTACTGCTTTACAGCTGTTAGCAATAAGACTCGCTGTTTTTCGGTAGGTTTTCGTCAGATAGGTTTGAAACCTTCTATCATCATCATCGCTGTTGGGTGCAAGCTGCATCATTTCGCCTATAAACGAAAGGCGATTAACATGGAATAAGCAGAGACGAACCATGAATGAGATCTTCAATAACTTGAGAAAGAACAGCTATCACTCCAGTATCTCCTATCTGGGCTAATAAACGAGATGAATGAGTCAGTATGAAGTCGCCTCCCAAAATTGCCTGAAGAAAAAGCGTGAAAACATTTTTGAATAATGCACTTGGGGACTTGCTAAATTTGCGTTAACAAAAAGCTAGAACTGATATACTATGTGCACAATAGAAAATATGGATTGGTTTAGACAATAATGTAGAAAAGCCATTTGCCCTTATGTATGACGTTCACCTGATAACGACTGAAGTATAAGGGAAAATATAAGCCGTTAAATTTATTACTTACAAACAAAGGTGGTTAAAATCCTCTGCAACATGAATTATTTTATATGACAACAAAATTAGTTTTTGAAACTTAGTAGTTGTAGATGTAAACTGCGTGGTTGTGGTTCGCGAGTCATGATCGGTGGTTGATATTAGGTGACATGGCTTAGAGTTGTTCGCCGTGAAGCAAAGGCATTTTCTCCTCATATTGCCCCAGACATTGTTTTTCATAATTCACTCAAACAATTTTTTTTTCAAACTCCGCCTGTAGCTCTTCTAGAGTTACTGCCGGTCCCAAGCCCGGGTAAAGGAGGAGGGTTGGGCATGGGGTTAGCGTCCCCATCCCGTAGAAAACTAACTCGCTAAAAAAACGCTTGCCAGAAAAAAATAATTCAAACCATTTTAACTCTGCCCTGAGAATTAGAAGGTCTTCATTTAGAAGAATTATGACGCTTCATGGTGAAAGCCGAGTTCCTTCGGAAGCCACGAGGCCGATGCCCCTTCTAACAACCAGAGCAAAAATTTTTATAGGTACATGGAACGTCCGAACAATGTGGGAAACCGGGAAGACCAGTCAAATAGCAATGGAAATGAGGAGATACAACTTAGCAGTACTGGGGATCAGCGAAACTCACTGGACCCAAGCTGGACAGAAAAGACTAGCTACGGGAGAGATGCTGCTATACTCCGGTCACGAAGAGGAAAATGCTCCACACACTCAGGGAGTTGCTCTAATGCTGTCCAAAGTAGCACGAAATGCACTTGTAGGATGGGAATCTCACGGATCCAGAATCATCAAAGCATCATTCAAAACAAAGAAGGCGGGGATCACAATGAATATTATCCAATGTTATGCACCCACCAATGATAGCAACGACGACATTAAAGATCAGTTCTACGAGCGGCTGCAGTCAGTCATTGAGAAATGCCCAAGAAAGGACCTCACCATTCTAATGGGAGATCTAAATGCCAAAGTCGGAATAGACAACACTGGATATGAAGATATTATGGGACGACATGGACTGGGAGAAAGAAACGAAAATGGAGAAAGATTTGCAAATCTATGTGAATTCAACAAATTGGTCATAGGAGGCACAATATTTCCACACAAGCGTATACATAAGGCTACATGGATCTCACCGGACCACACTACAGAGAACCAGATAGACCATATTTGCATCAACAAAAAATTCCGAAGGACAATGGAAGATGTGAGAACCAGGAGAGGAGCTGACGTAGCTTCAGATCACCACCTAGTTGTAGCCAATTTGAAACTGAAGCTAAAAAAGAACTGGACAAGTGGACAAACAGCAATACAAAGGTTCAATACAGCCTTCCTTCGAGATACTGTCAAACTCAATGAATTCAAGATAGCTCTCAACAACAGGTTCCAAGCCTTACAAGATCTACTGAAAGAAGAAGAAACTACTATGGAGGACAACTGGAAAAGCATCAAGGAAGCATTAACTTCAACGTGTCAAGAGGTTCTCGGTCTAAAGAAATACCATCATAAGGAATGGATCTCTACAGAAACACTGGACAAGATCAAAGAAAGGAAGAACAAGAAGGCAGCAATAAACAACAGCCGAACACGAGCAGAGAAAGTCCAAGCACAAGCTGAATACATAGAAGCAAACAAGCAAGTGAAGAGGAGCATTAGAGCTGACAAGAAGAAATACGTGGAAGAATTAGCAACGACGGCAGAAAAAGCTGCTAGAGAAGGAAATATGAAACAGCTTCACGATACAACGAAGAAACTAGCAGGGAAATACAGTAAACCAGAGAGGCCGGTCAAAGACAAAGAAGGCAAGCCAATCACTGAAATTCAACAACAGCGTAACAGATGGGTAGAATACTTTGAGGAACTCCTGAATAGGCCGACTCCTATGAATCCACCGAACATCGAAGCAGCACACACAGATCTTCCTATAGATGTCAACCCACCAACGACGGAAGAAATTAGAGCGGCCGTCAGACAAATCAAGAACGGGAAAGCAGCAGGACCCGACAACATACCAGCTGAAGCACTGAAATCAGACGTCGAAGTAACCACAAGCATGCTTTACCCTCTATTCAAAAAGATTTGGGAGGAGGAACAAGTGCCGATGGACTGGAAAGAAGGGCACCTCGTCAAGATTCCAAAGAAAGGAGATCTGAGCAAATGTGAAAACTACAGAGGCATAACACTACTGTCAATACCAGGGAAGGTCTTCAACAGAGTTTTGCTGAACCGGATGAAGGATGCAGTAGACGCTCAACTTCGAGATCAACAAGCTGGATTCCGTAAGGATCGGTCGTGCACAGACCAAATTGCAACACTACGGATCATCGTCGAACAATCGGTTGAGTGGAACTCGTCACTATACATCAACTTCATTGATTATGAAAAGGCATTCGACAGTGTAGATAGGAGGACATTATGGAAACTTCTTCGACATTACGGAGTTCCTGAGAAGATTGTCAATATTATCCGGAACTCATACGATGGACTACAGTGCAAAGTAGTGCATGGAGGACAGCTGACAGATGCATTCCAAGTAAGGACCGGGGTCAGACAAGGCTGTTTACTCTCTCCCTTCCTCTTTCTTCTGGTGGTCGACTGGATTATGAAGACCACAACATCTGAAGGAAAACACGGAATACAATGGACAGCTCAGAACCAATTAGACGATCTGGACTTCGCAGATGACCTAGCTCTTATATCACGTACACACGAACAGATGCAGATGAAGACAGCCAGTGTAGCAGCAGTCTCTGCATCAGTAGGCCTCAGTATACACAAAGGGAAAACGAAGGTCCTCAAATTCAAAGCGGAAAACAGCAATCCAATCACTCTTGATGGCGAAACTCTGGAAGATGTAGAATCCTTCACATACCTGGGAAGCATCGTCGATGGACAAGGAGGTTCAGATGCAGACGTAAAGGCGAGGATTGGCAAAGCAAGGGCCGCATTCCTACAATTGAAGAACATATGGAATTCAAAACAACTTTCAACCAATATCAAAGTGAGAATCTTCAATACCAACGTCAAGGCAGTTCTACTGTATGGAGCTGAAACTTGGAGAACTACAACAACCACAATCAAGAAAGTACAAGTATTTATAAATAGCTGTCTACGCAAGATACTCAACATCCATTGGCCAGATACCATCAGCAATAGCCTTCTGTGGGAGAGAACAAACCAACTTCCAGCTGAAGAGGAAATTAGGAGAAGACGATGGAAATGGATAGGACATACATTACGCAAATCGTCAAACTGTATCACGAGACAAGCCCTAACTTGGAATCCTGAAGGGAAGCGGAAAAGAGGAAGGCCAAAGAACACATTACGTCGGACAATAGAAGCAGATATGAAAAGGATGAATTACAACTGGACGGAGCTGGAAAGGATTGCCCAGGAGAGGGTTGGATGGAGAATGCTGGTGAGCGGCCTATGCTCCTTCACGAGGAGTAACAGGCGTAAGTAAGTAAAGTAATATTTTTCAACATTCTAAGTGATTAGTCTTTCTCACAATTATTCATGCCATTGTTTGAAGCATTTTGCTGCTCATCCTGTTAATTTTTAGCTGTTGCGCTGATTTGATTCGGCAACTTGAGCTGCTCCACGTTTTTAACAGATTCTACACAAATTGTGGATGAAGTTTGTCCCTGGATATTTTCAAAACAACTGTTATTTGCACATAACTTATATTGTTCGTTAAACTGCATCAACGTATTCTCAAACTGTTGTTGCAGACTAGTGATACGAATACACTAAACTGTACAACTTCAAATTTGCTTCGGTGGTAAAGAAAAACCCGAAATGAACTAGTGCAAGCTAGTCACGTTTTTGTTTCCCCACATAAGTTTTTTGCTGATTTGATGTCTTGGAAAGAGTACAGCACCTTTAACTTTAGTAATACATAACAAGAGCCAAAATGTTTTCATCTCTTACATAAAATAACAACGCCTACCAACCACACCTGCATGTCAATATATGAAAAATGACAGCATATCATTTTTATCAATAAAAACAAATTGTAAAGAGCCCATTCCTAGCGCGAAACAACGTTTGAAGGTGGTAGCATTCGGTTGCATGTCCCATAGTAACGACACTGAACTTTGTTTCGTCTAGAAGAACTGAGAGTAACTTTTCTAGAGGTGTCGATTAATCTTCAGTCATAAGGATAGGAGGTCTATCAACCTATTTAATTTTTTTTAGATCATTACGATTTGCACAGTAATGTTAACTAACCTCTCTATGTCCAAAGGCTTTATAAGCCGACGTTTTCCCTCTTCGGACAGATGCTGAGTCAATCAAGTCATCGTGGATAAGACTTGCTGTATGGATCATTTCTGTGATTTTGGCAATCTCATGTTGTTTGGGAGAGACTAAATATGCTAAATAAATCCATTTCAAAGTAAAATGCATACAAAACTTACCCAGATTCCTAGCATGGCCTGATACAGATGAATCATACCTCACAATAAGGGGAGTGTTGCATTCTATGTGTGAATTTGCGCACGCTGCTGCGAGAGTAACAAGCAATGGACGAACAAGCTTTCCCTGAGATTCAAACTGATAGCGTAGCAAATCTTGGAATGCTGGAAAAGCTGGACATAGACTCTATGATACGAAAATACTGATAAGGCTGAGCAAGAAACTACGTGTTTTATTTCAGATACAATTAAGCGTAAATCCTTAAGGGCATTTTGTAAAAGCTCCTTGGAGTCGTGGTCTGGAAGACGTGACAAGTAGACACTTGAGTGCGTAAGCCTCTGAAACTTCAAAATACCTCAATTATAAGTACAAACTTTGACTCCAGCATCAAAAGGCCTATACGTTAACGCCCAACGGAAAACGACCATCAACTTCAGTAGCGCAGCATTTGAACTTCCACCAACTTTGAGAGGTTGTGTAAAGAAGACTTACAATTACTGGTTGAGTTAGTTGACAGCTGGATATTAAATAATACTTTTAGTGAAAACCTTCTATACTAGAACTTTGGAGAATGAGATTCAGACCGTGATACTTTGTTTTCAGTGTAAATAGGATTTGCTAGAACAAGTAGAACGGCGAAAGGCTAAAATGGTGAAAAGACTGACTAACCCATATAGTGCGAACAAAACTAGCAGTCTCGACCTGGAAGATTGTGGGTGCTTTAAGATTGACTATTGAGAATTAACTCACGGTTCCAACGATTTATTGTTACTTATGTTCACCAATACAAGTAGTATGCAACACCTGTTGGGAGTAGAAAGTTTGCGAGAAAAACGTTGAGAAGTTTGAAATGAAGGGTAGTGAGATGGGTACTGAAAGAAACCCAGATAACGACAAGAAGTGAGGGTCAATGAAACTTTAAAGTGACAACTCCAAGAAGATATGCAAATGATGTTTTTGATATGTGATTGTAGAGGTAAATAAATCCCCAAAATAAATAGCTCTAAGTTTTCGACATTGGATGCTGACCATATGTTTTAGTGGACTCATCTAGCTGAAGGCGCCTGGTCATGCATCCGCACCAGATCACGTGTGGTAACGCCGTGCTCAACATCTACCGCAATCGCTAGCCAGATTTGATCAGAGAATTCCGATATATTGGTAATCGCCAAATACACTCTTCCGATCTCCTTGACTCTGTCTTTTGATTTCTCTGGGTGGGAACGAAATACATTAGGAGGTGTTACTGGTAAAAGCGTTGTCAAACACTGAATACCTGTGACATCATCATTGGTGAGACCGACGTGATCTGGTACGCCTAATTGCAACTGTGAGTCTGTTCCTTTTTGGGATTTTTTATATATAATTGACTTATTTTTATTTTTTAAACATTGTGATTCTTTTTTCGTGTTTTTTCTTGGATATATATATATTTCTTCCCTCGTTCATTATCGTACTTCATATTGCATCATGACTGAACAGACACCCAAAGTACTCAAGCTTAAGACTTTGTCCCCACCTTCTTTTCAACTCATGCCTTTCTGGCCCGACAACATCGAAGCCTGGTTCTGCCACGCAGAAGCCGACTTCCACGAGCACGGCGTGATCGACACACGTGCACAATTCCTCGCAGTAGTCAAGGCACTACCGCGCGAATTCAACAGGTATGTAACACCTAGTATGTTTATTAGTGATGTTTCCGAACCTTACGAAATCTTGAAACGTTCGATTCTTAAACGAGGAGACCTAACCGATCGACAAAGGTTAGATCAACTCTCCAATAACATCGACCTGCAACACGGTTCTGCGACAGACATGTTGCAACGGATGAGAGAGGTTATAGGCCCAAGAACTTTCGACGAATGCCTATTCAAACAACTCTTCTTGTCAAAACTTCCCCAACAGGTGCAAGCGGTTCTGATCTCGTTTCAGAACAACACCTTAGACGAACTGGCTGCATTTGCCGACCGCATTCTAGAAATTACGAAACCTACTACCGAGGTATTTTCAGTCAAAGAAAAGCCTCACACGACTCAGAATGATATAACCGACTTATGTCACACACTCACGCGTTATCTTAGTATTCGTGCCGACTCATTAGACTTTCTGGGACACACCATCGATGCTCAAGGTATCCGACCCCTTAGAACCAAAGTGGCGGCCATTCTGGATTACCCAGAACCGACTGCCGTCAAGCAATTACGCACGTTTAACGGCCTCGTAGGTTTCTATAGACGTTTCATACCGAAATGCGCATTACTTATGAAACCTCTTACAGATCAACTTCTTGGAAATGCGAAATCCATCAATCTGGACGACACCGCATGAAAAGCATTCTCCACAATTAAGGAACTTATCGCGAAAGCAACAATCCTTGCACACCAGGACATCCGAGCACCCATTAGCATCGCAGTAGACGCATCCGACTCGGCAATCGAAGGAGTCTTACAACAATGGGTTAACAACTTCTGGCAACCCTTGGCATTTTTCTCTAGAAGGTTGCTAGACACCGAATCGAGGTACAGCACATTCGGTAGGGAACTCCTAGCTATGTATTGTGCTGTACGACATATTCAACGCTATATCGAAGGCCGTGAATTCACTCTTTTCACGGACCATAAACCGCTCACTTTCTCGTTAAGCTCTCCTTCAGACAAGTACTCTCCCCGTGAGTCTCGACAACTGGACTACATTTCGCAGTTTACTTCAGACATTCAACACATTTCTGGAGCAAAAAATATAGTCGCAGACGCCTTGTCTCGCATAACTTCCTTGAACAGTTTCCAAGGAATCGACCTTCTTAAACTCGCCGAGCTTCGAAAAGAAGACACTGATCTTCAGCACGAGTTATCGTCCACAACCCCTAAACTACGCATCAAACAGATGGGAACAGGTAAGGAAACCTTACTTTGTGACACATCTACAAGTAGGGATCGCCCAATCGTGCCGAAACATTATCGACGCAATGACTTCAACACATTGCACAAGCTTTCTCATCCAGGTGTTCGTGCAACCATCAAGCTTCTAGCAGAACGGTTTTGCTGGCCTGACATGAATAATGACGTGAGGGAGTGAGGACGCTTCTGTGTAAGCTGCCAACAATCTAAGGTCATCAGACACAATAAATGTCCCTTAGGCTCATTTAAAACTCCCAATGCTCGTTTCGACCATGTTCATCTGGATTTGGTAGGACCTTTACCAGATTCAAATGGATACTCTTATCTCTTAACCTGCGTAGACCGTTTCACTCGATGGCAAGAAGCAGTACCTATCAAGGACATCACTGCTGAAACAGTGGCCCACACCTTCGTCGAACGATGGGTAGTAAACTTCGGTTGCCCTTCAACTATCACTACAGACCGCGGACGTCAGTTTGAATCTGATTTTTTCGGTCGTCTGACCACACTTTTAGGAATCACTCGCTTCCGAACGACCGCCCACCATCCACAAGCAAACGGGTTGGTAGAACGTTTTCATGGACAACTAAAAGCCTCACTATCAGTGGACCGACGCTCTTCCACTTGTCTTACTAGGTATCCGCAATGCAGTGAAAGCTGAAATTTGATACACTGCGTCTCAACTCGTTTATGGAACGACACTTCGACTTCCAGGATAATTCGTGGATCCTTCATACTTTTCAATGAACATGGATCTAACCTCCTATACGAACAGGCTTACAAACGCAACGAGTTCAGTTAAACCTGCTTCCACTCGACCTCAATGAACTGATGTTTTCGTTCAACCTGAGTTACGATATAGTACACACGTTTTCGTTCGTCGAGACTGGCATCGACGACCATTCGAATCAATCAGCAATCAGTCAATCAGCAATCAACAAGCATATTGAAATCAATCCAATTTATCAACCAATCAGAAAAATCATGCACAAACATAAGAACAAAAATCAAAACAATGGGAGACACAACCAAAACAAAGAAGTAAATAACGACAAATTTAAGGTCAATAAGAACCAATCAACGTCGAGGTGCACAGAACAAGCTTTGAGACACATATGGAGAAATTCAAACACTTCACTTCTATCTGAAGTTTGTGCTGATGATGTCGTTCAGAAGGACGATGAAAGCTTCACGACCAAACCATCCAGCTCAGAGAACAAAACTCCACCAAAATCATCCACCTGAGCTACATATCTTCTCCACCACCATTCGAATCAGCATTCGAAGGACCCTTCAAAGTTCTTCAACGTGAATCTAAGTACTATATAGTCGATAATAACGGAACCAACGATAGCATCAGCATCGATCGCCTCAAAGCAGCGAATTTAGAAGGAAATCCTATTCATGCGGCTCCTATACTCATAATTCCTCAACCGACAACAAACACTAGCGATGATACTTCGACAGTATCTGAAAATAAACCTAAAACGACGCCTTCTGAAAGAAGAGTAAGATTTCCAGAACATTTAAACGACTACTGCACGTAAGGCACTACTCGACATTTTATATTATCTCGATCTTTCTTTTTACGATACATAATTTTTTTTAAAAAAAAGACAATTTTAATATGCTTATATATTTATATTTTTATTTAAAAAAACACAAAACATAAAATAAACATTTTCTTAACGCTATTACGTGTGCTTGAGTATATTTTCCATTTTTTCGCCGATATTGTGTTTTTCCGCACATACGAGTGTATTTCGACATGCACATACACTTTCTTTTTTCTTTTCCAGGACGGCTGGAAAAGAACGATGCAGTTTACGAGGAGTCGAAATTCTCGTTGTAACTCTTTCTTTTTCTACTATGTTGTACCTTGGTCCCATATAGTAAGGAAAGACGACCAGACGCTGCTACACTTAGTAAGCTATCAGAAGAGTGTTTACCAACGACAAACTCGTTGGGTTTAAACTTCTGGCTGGTCACGTCTTAGGGTCGTCACTGCCGTACTAGAGGGGGGGAGTGATCAGTAGCGGTAAATAAATCCCCAAAATAAATAGCTCTAAGTTTTCGACATTGGATGCTGACCATATGTTTTAGTGGACTCATCTAGCTGAAGGCGCCTGGTCATGCATCCGCACCAGATCACGTGTGGCAACGCCGTGCTCAACATCAACCGCAATCGCTAGCCAGATTTGATCAGAGAATTCCGATATATTGGTTATCGCCAAATATACTCTTCCGATCTACTCGACTCTGTCTTTTGATTTCTCTGGGTGGGAACGAAATACATTAGGAGGTGTTACTGGTAAAAGCGTTGTCAAACACTGAATACCTGTGACATCATCATGATTTTCACACCTTATTAAAGCACTGCATATTGGTACGTTAAATAATAAATTGGTCATCCCCACTTACTTTACACTCACTACACGGGAGCTGATCAAGAGCAGAATGTTAAACATGAAGTAGAAATATACAAGAAAATTATATCAAGAATTTTAAGAAGTCCGTTAAATTTTCACTCCGACTCACGACTACATACTCTTTGGTTTCGATAATTTTAAC